TCAAAGTACTTAGGTGGTCCAAAACTTGTTTCAAGCGTTCATTCTGCCGCAAAAGGATAGTAAAATCAGTCAAATTAGTTGTTATTTCATTTGCTTGGGGTGTAGGGGGATTTGGAACAACTGAATAGGGTGCAGCAGAAAACTGACCTTCTCCTTTTGAAGTGCCTGCAGTTCAGCATGTAATTCTTCTAGCTTTCTTAAAGATAAATCACTTTTATCAACTACCACAGAAGTAGAAGTACAACCAGTGGGATTAAAAATTTCATCCCTAATCTTCTGTAACTGCTTTGTAACTTCAATGAATTGATTCTTTCTATCAGATTTCCTATTGCGCATCTCTTCCAATTCTGGAAGAATGGTTCTAAGTTCTGCCTTCAGACCTCCAAGGCTCTGATCAGACTGAACACAACATTCATAGTAAAATTGATTACTATCTTATGAAACTAAAATTAACATGTAAATCCAATTTGAAATCATACAATTACAGCTATTGTCTAGAATTATCATCTCGGAGATTCGCTAAAGAATAACATCATGTATGTCATTTCTTTCTACAAATCCCTGAAAAGATAACTTGCAAGGCTATTTGGTTACGTTTTCCTGACCTGTCTAATATGCACTGGTCGCTCCCCCATCGCAGAACAGATAGCTGCAAGCTCTGCTTCAGCATCAGCAATTGCCTGCCTTAATTGAGCTCTACTCTTATTTGCTTGATCCACTTTTCTTCTATATACTTCTAAACATTCTCGTTCAAGCTCATACAGCATTTTGTCCCTTTCAGTATCAGATTCCCCAACTTCATCCCATATAATCTTAAAAAAAAAGGAGAGAAAAAGGAAACATGTTTGAACAGTAAGATTAGTATCAAGAACTGATGAATTTCGAACAAGTCAGTAGTAGCTAATTCATGAAAATTACCTGCAATTCATATAGCAATGTTCCACATGTAGTTTCCATTTGCTGAATTGGATCACCTTGAGCAGCTGTCATCTTAAAAGATGTTGGATCTGTTAACAAAAAACAATCTTTATAAGATCAGTGTAGCATAAAACAAACACCATGAGCGCAATCTATTGAATACAAACACTAATCTCATTAATTGAAGTGAAACTTAAACCCTTAAATAACTCATTCCGACTACTTCTACTGACCAAATTCAGAAAACACATCCAATTCTCCGCTCGAGAATTTCAAAAATAATAAACCCTAAATCACATGCTAAAACCAAATCAGGGATTGGTAAAATAGAGATCGAATGGATTTACTTTCATCGGTTCGATCATTCAGGAAGAAAAAGAACAAAAATCCATGATTTACGCATCGATTTACATACTTTTTCTACAAATTGACACATCATAGAAGCAGAAAATTTGTTGGAAAGTACCTGAATCAACAGTTATGTTGCAATTTGGAAATCGGAAGCTGAGATGTTTTTGTTCTGGAAGCTGACTGATGGAAAGATGTTCAAAATTATTGATTCAAATGTAGCTAAGATAGAGAGAGAGAAATGGGAAGGAAAGTAGCCGTTAAAATATGAAAAATTCGACCGTTGAAGATGAGCGGATCTATAGTTTAATAGAGTCATATTCTGCAAAAGGTTCAGTAACGTTCGACCGTTTCGTCCCTTGATTTTCTAATGTTTCAATTTAGTCCATAATCTTGTAAAAAATGGAAATACAGTCCTCGCGTTTGAGTTTTATACACTGCGGCAAGTAAAATTTTAGTTCCCACATGCTAATTTTATCTTGTTGTTTTTTTCTTTCTTTTACTAAAACTGGATGCACCTTTCTAAGTGGTTATCGGTGTCACTGACATTCTAATTAAGTAGTTTTTTTTTTGGATGATGTATAGTCATTGAGTTTAACTGATCTCAACATTTCAATTGTAAAAACTCGAAGGTTGAACTGGTCCAATATATATCTTAAATTTATCGCTTCATACATGTCTGTTATAAATGATAAAAATTTGGAAACCGTTGGACATAATTATTGTCATACATACATATACTTCTTTTTTGTGAAGTTTACTCATTATTTAATGCAAGGATATGTGGAAAACAAAAAACAAATAAGAAGACCTATGATGTGTTTGGAATCAAGGAGGGAAGGACAAGAAAAGAAATTAAATGGGGAAAAAATAGGGAAAGAGTATTTTTCTCTTTCTTTATTTTATTTGGTTAGAATTCAAATGAATTAGAGGAGGGAAAGAAAATGAATTTATCCATCATGAAAATTTAAATCTCAGGCGAAAGGTAAATTTTGGTGTGGTCCATAGGAGAAATGATTTTTCTACTTTAAAGAAACAGCAAATGTCTCTAGTATCTCTTTATTTGGCATGTTATTTTGATTTGATTACTACTATAAATTGATAATTTTATGAAAATGATAACTAACATGTTATCATATGTTAAATTTATTGATAATATAACAAACTTAAATTCATCTCTATCCCTGATATGTTTATAGAATTAGCCCTAAACTTGATTGTCGTTGATATAAGACAGCTTTCGTGATACATGAGAGCACATAAAAAGTTTAGGAAACAAAAAGAAAAAAAGGAAATATCAGAGAAAGGAGAAAAAAAAGTATTGAGTGGGAATTAATCTAAGTAAATAATTTATAATTTAATCATTCAATCAAATGTTGTTGTTTTTTTTGCCTTTTTTAGAATATGGAAGCCATAGCCCGTAATATTAAATCAATGCAAAAGAATACGTACATTAAATATCTATTTGATGAAGAGATCATGAATTCACGTGAATCACAAATTTTTGGCGTAGGGTAAATAGACAAAGTCAAAGAGTTGTCTAGTTCAAAAGCTATTTATCTTTCTTTGAAAATGATATATAAGTCTCAAACGAAATTTTTATATATTTCTTTAGTAAAGAAATATGAAGGTTTTGTCAAACAAACTTGACATATGAAAAGTCCATGAAGCTGATAGAGCACTGTTTGTCAAACAAATTTGTTTTTTTTTTGTCAAATAAAGTTGACATATGCTTATGTTGCAGGTCCCAATTTTCTTTACTGTCGATGAATTCTTTAGATTACTCTCACAAAACAAAACAAAAAGTTGAAATGAGTTGGGAATTTCTTCTTTGTAAAATTTTAAGCTGTATCACACATCTGACTAAAGTTAAACATTAAGGGGCCGTTTGGTTACTGGTTAGAGTTATGCAGGTATTAGTTATACAGGGTTTAGTTATGCAGGTATTAGTTATGCAGGGTTTAGTTATGCAGGTATTAATTATGCAGGGTTTAGTTATGCAGGGTTTAGTTATGCAGG